CGGGGAAAAGTGCGGTGGACAATCGTATTACCTATATAACGAGTACCAAACGGTGGTTCTATGGCTACAAAGTGATGAGTGGCCGATCGGGCCAATCGAAAAATCACTGCCTTTAGCGTCGCCTTCGTCAAGCCCCCCCTGAGGTCTCCCGGGGATACGTTGACAATGGTCTGACCCATAAGGCGTGGAAACCATGAGTGCCCCCCCCCCCCCGTCTGTTTCTCTGGTGGTATATATCACGCCCGCCGTGCCTCGCCCGGTCTGGATTGCCGGCGACCCCGAATGAAAAACCAGATGCTCGACACGCGGGACTATAGGGTGGTGACCAGCATCCAGGTGGAGGGGGCGTTGCCCGTTCACACGCACGAGTACCTGTCCGGTGAGAGAGTGGCATGCAGGGAGTGAGGGAGAGAGAGGCACACACCCACGCAGACATGCAGACAGACAGACAGACAAACAGACAGACAGACAGACAGACAGACAGACAGACAGACAGACAGACAGACAGACAGATAGACAAGAAAGAGAGAGAGAGAGAGAGAGAGAGAGAGAGAGAGAGAGAGAGAGAAAGAGGATGGGAGTAAGTGAGTGGTAAAAGACAGAAGATACCTTGAGCGTTTTGCGGCTTTTGGTGTTTTCATTCCTGCTGGCGGTAATGGTACTGCTGCTGCTCGTCAGTCCGTCGTTATTGTGATTATTTTTCTCTTCTTGTAGCTGTTTTCTTTGTTGCTTTCGTTGTATTGTTGGCGTTTTCAACGGTTCTGACCAACCTCTCGCCACCAGTGTATAGTCTCCAGTTTCACTCTCGCTCACACTCCGGATTCGGTACTGCCGGTCTCACTGGCACACTGCCTTTCCCGTTTTCATTTCTAGGTGGAAAGTAAGAAACATGAGAGCTATCCTTTCCCCTCTTTATTTTCGGTGCACTTCCTCGCGTTTCTGCCGCAGTCGAGCCCAGATGGGTTGTCAGCAGAAGTAGAAGCGGGAGCGGCCCTCGTCGTAGTGGTGACGTAGATGAAATTGCTCGTCGAACTCGCCGAGTGCCACCGTCTACTTCACTACACAAAAACAACAACGAAGACAACAACAACAACAACAACAACAACAACAAGTGCACCTTTGTATTGATTGATTGATTGATCGATCGATAAATTGATTGATTGATTGGTTGATTGCCAGACGTGGTGCTGGCGGTGGGATGCGGGGTGGGGTGCGTGCAGCTGTTCGACATCCGAAAGATGGCGACGTTCGTGACGATTCAAGACCCGGTGGCAGGGATAGTCCATCAGGTGTAGTGTGCGCATTGTGATGCCGTCACCATATCAACAAAACTCCTCTGGCACATGTTACGGTTCATCAAGCAGTGCTCTGCAGTCGCTGTGCCTGAACCAGCCTGCCCTCATGAAGTAAACGAGCCAGGCAACATGTTGTGTTGGCCATCACGTGTACACGAAAGTACCACTGGTTATCTAGGTAGATGCGTACTCGTAGCGAGGTTCCGAGCCTGAAGTGGGCCATCCGCGGAGACTTCGGTTCTCGCATGATAGAAGTGCGACTGCTGCACGCAATCCCACAAGAACCGGCCCTGAAGCTTTCGTTGTTGTTTGATGTTCACGCAAAAAAACGTGCCGGCCTCTGCCCGGTAGGTACCTTACAACATACGCACCGGCCCAACTGACGCAGACGCCTTCCGTGGCCCCAGGCTATCTTAACCCCCGTCTCTTCCCCCTATTGTGCGTTCGTGAGAGGCGATGTTAGCTCCCGTCGGCCAATGGCCCAACCGAAACTAAAGACATGCAAAATGAGCATGTCCCCCATCTCCCCACGCCCCACCCACGTACCCCCTGTTTTTCTTTGCTTGCTGTACGAGCAGATCGTCCCATCTTTGAGCGGCGACTGCTCTACCGCGGCCTCATCTGCTTGCGTCGGCGACTGGGTGGCCTTCGGAACGGCCGGACTGTCGAGGTTTTTTTGTTTCAACTCTTCGCCTTCCTTGCTGTTCTCAACATGGAGGGTCAATTGCTTGATTCGTGGTACTCACGCTTGCTTCGTACGAACAACTCTGGCATCCAAGAACACCTTATTTTGCTCAAGCTACCATTTCCTCGGTGCTTACCCCGCCCACCCACCCCACTATTTACCTTGCGCCACCCCCGTTCCACCCGCGATCGACAAAGGTATTCCATCGGCAGCAGAGGCAACGGCGGTGCCGGTGCCGCGGTGGTAGGCTCACAGGATGAAAATGTGCTGAACCGCATTGCGGGTGAACTATCCTACGCGGCCGGCTGTCGGTGAGTGAATGTAAATCATAGCATGACGCCTCCCCCTCCCCCCGGTGTGACTGTCATTGTGCACGACCCCGATTTTTTTCGTTTCCCGACGCCCAGCGCGACGGTTGCTGTTTAGGCTTGAATGAGTGTGCACAGCCCCAAGATTTCTGACAGGGAAGATTCGTTCTTGTTTTTTAGTGTAGGCTGTACTATGCTCGTGCCGGTTCGCGCCCGAGCTCACCCACGAACAAACGAACCATGTTCGGCAGGCTGCGAAGAATTCAAGCCTTGTTGAATCCCGCAATATGTCCAGACTTCGTGGTCTTCTTGGTGCGTTGCCTAGCAGAAAACGAAGCAAGCACTGCGGACTTCGTTATTGATAAGCCCGCTGACGGCGTTACAGTGTTTCAGGAGCATTCGCAAGCCTGCCGACAGACGTGGCTCCAACCAAAGACTGCCGCATGTCGTTGCCTGAATAGTCGCAGAACCACGGTTACTTTTTGGCGCCTGTAGTCGAGCTTCCTTTGTTCATGTCGCGGCGACCGTTTTATCTCTGTACATACCACGGCACCCTATCAGCACCAGCGATCTGAACCTCCCCGCGGGCCTCGACGTGAACGCGGGACTGTTCCTCGCGCCGACGACGTCCGGCGGCGACGGCGGCGGCGGCTCGGGCGGGCCGCCGCCGCATCAGCTGTGCGGCATCACCCTGGACTCGCGCATCGTGACGTTCCGCTGCTCCTCTCAGTCGTCCAGTATCACCGGCACCGCCGACGGCGGGAATGGAACAGCGGCCGGGGTGGTGGGGGAGAGCGGCGAGACGGCGGCGAGATCATCGCCGTCGCCGGTCCCCACCTCGCCGCCCCCGGTAGCGCCCGCCGATGGCAGCAACCTCGGTCGTGGTAACCCTAGAGACTAAAGCGGTAACGGGGGTACCTGCGGCGTTGACGAAGGCGATCGGGGCAGCCCTGCCGGAAGGGGACCGGGGGAGGGCGGAGACGGCGGTGCTGACGGTGGGCCTGGCGGAGAGGGGGCTGTCGTTGGAACCGGGGAGGAGGGGTGCGCCCAGGCCAAGAGCGGCACCGCCGCCACCAGCTGAAGCAGAACGGGGGGGGGCGACGTAGGATAAGAGCAGCACCAGTGGCAGCAGCAGCAGCAGCAGCAAGGGGTGGTGGGAACAGACCGCCGTTGTACAAAGATTTACGAAAGCCGTGTCGGGAGTGACGATGCTCGGTGTTTGGTTCTTTTGTCACCTGTGGTATTGTAGCGTTGATGAGGCTCTCTCGGGAAGTTCCTCGTTGTAGACAAACCACGCCGTGCTCAGTTTTTAAGTGGATGGGCGCGTTATTTGCCTATATTTAGAGTAAAGTTTAATGAAGCGTCGAGGGCAAAGTCTCTCAAGGCTGGTATGGGGGAGGGCTCTTCTTGACCACGTGCGGTTCGCACGTCAGCCACCCCTCGCGTATGGCTTCGGGTTTTCGCCGACCGGTATTTATTTTGCTTGCCACGTCACAGATGGTGTCGGGAGTGTCATGGGTAGGTGAGGATGGCCCTCTTTTCGAGAAATTACCTGCAGTTTGCGTAAACCCTTCCCAACCTTTCCGTGTGAATACTCTTTGTCGTGATAGACTTGGGTAGACCAAACACTATTCTTTTGGCAGGGATGATACTGGATGGCAGCACCTACTTCCGCGAGACTCAACGTGTGTTATGTACTGGTACGCACCAACATTAACAGTATGACAAAGGCCCACGAACAACAAAATGACACGATTGGGAGTTGATTGGAGTTACATCGTTTCAATCAAGTTTGTGCGATAACACTCAAAATATTACATTTCTTGTGGATGTTTTCACCTTGGCCCTGCGAGAGTGCAACACCTTTTTTTTGTTCTGGACCACTGCATGAGCTGACGACCACATGCACCGACATGGAAAAGCAAGGCTTCGAGGAATACGCACAATTAATGTCGTCAAGCCTCTCCGGCGAGGGCAGCTTCCAGTTTATCTACTTCCAAGCGTAAAATTGACGCAAGTGTCAAGAAGTGGAGGTCTTCTCTACTCGTTGTATCTACAGAGTGGTAGGCGCCATGCCTGATCTACATCAGCAACAATTCAACGCTGCTAACATTTGCTTACAATCTGAGCATCTACCTTGAAACCACGCTTGCAGTTTGATCGTCCTCTTGTCTTAGAATACTTGGTCGGTACTGCTGCTGTAATTTCATCCCTGTCTGGGATGAACGTATACATAAAGACTATACTTCGAAGTAGTCTATTAGACTACCTGTAGACTGACAAGCAAACATGATCTATTCTATGTGTTAGACTATTCCTGTATTTTCTGCTGCGGAGTTAGTGCTGGCTCATCATTCCCAATCCTGTGTTCTTTAACGCTCTACTTGTAAACGGCAGATGATAACTTTGCTGTGAATGATTGAGATGGGGATGGATGTGGTGGGTGGATGTTGTTGATTGCCAGGTAATCCATAAAATGTAGGACAATATTCGGGCAAGAGGTCCGAGGATCTGTTTGGCGTCGTCCGCAGGACATCATTTGCTTTTCGGGATCTAGCTTTGACCTTCGAACCTTGTTTCGATCTCACGATCTCGCAATCTCGCGATCTGAATGGACCCGGCGATCCGGTGTACATCGTCCCCCACAAGTATGCGGCGGAATTACTGCTGCGAATGTTGGCTGCGGACGCTGCGGACACAGCACAAACAAGTCACCTACCTAGGCCACACACCAAAGAAGACGCACAGCTCCCGCTGTGCAGACGAGAGATCGACGACAAATGCTCCATGTTGTCCTCTTCCGGCCTCTTATCCCTGCTAATACTGGGAACATTGGCCGCACTTGCCTGGGTTTCGGAGCAAGGCTACACCTCGTCAAGTAGGTTGCGCCGCACCGCAGGTTGCAGTAGCAGCGACCCAGCGACCTGTAGTCATGTGTTCGTCGCTGGTCGATGGTGCTTGTGGTTGTGAGCCGCATATTCGGCATTCGGAGAGGGGTTTGGAGTAGCAGCAGAGGGAGTCCTGCAGCGTGTCTTGTAATTTTCACCTGCCCAGCTACGGTATACGAAGTTGTAGTGTTGCAGAGAGAGACCCACTGCTTTTGTTGTCGCCGCAGGCAAAACACTCATCGTTGATTTCCTCGAGCCACCTGGTGGGATGTTTTCGATGCTTCGTACACGCAGCCTACAGGTGCATATCGTGCTGGCAGTACATCATCAAAGGCTGTTATTCCGCAAGACTTGTTAAATCACGCGCGTCTTGTACCTCACGGATACACAGAGTAGTGGCTGGGACCTTTGTCATGTTGTCGGTGGTCTCGATGCATGCTGTACTGCTGTCTCTGCAACGTTTGGCCCCTGTTGGTCATGATCGCACCAACCCCATCCACCCTCCACCTCCGCCGCCCTTTCTCACGTCCACAGCAGTGGTAGTTGTGACGCCGCCTTGGGGCAGAAGAGAACATATAACAGAAAATCGCTTGTTCACGTGCACACTATATAGTCTAATGTACTTTGTTTGCTCGCGCGTACAGACCGCTCGGATTCGATCTGTCCGAGCGAGAAGTTAAGAGGGCCGGGCTTGATCATTGGGAGCACGTGGACCTAGCCGTCCACAACAGCTGGTGAGGGGTGGTTCGTCGTCAGAGTCGAAGCAGTCCCTGTCGCGTGCATTACATCGCAAGCCCACGGTTAAGCAGAGGCCATTTTCAGGTCGAGCCTCGATTTATCATTTTTCCACGTCAAACAAAACCTGCCTCAGCTGCCGGGACCCTTGCTGCTGCGCACCTCTCGCCTGCGGAGCGACCAGTACATGCGGTCTTCGCTGAATATATGCGGTGGTCGCCGTCTGTTACCTTACAGAGTACTCCGTAAATCGTTTTTTCAATCCCTCGTTCCTGAGCTCTGTCTAATAGACTAGACGTTGTCCGGGATGTGTGACTTAAGCGTTCTTTTCTCGACCATGGTGCAAGTTGCGACCTCTTCGCCGAACAATAAATTTGCCACTTTTGCTCGTCTGCCGAACCATGCCATATGGTTTAATTGCGCTTCGTGACTCGGATACGCACCACTGGTCCGTTGAACTCAGTCGATCCTGCAAATGTATGGCGTGTTTGTTTCTGTTTTCACTCCCCACCCCTCGCCATGAACCCGCACGCTCGTGCATAACCTTCAGGACATGCTTCACTGAGAGCATGCTCCCCGTGCTGAGTCACAACAACAGCGGGGGCGGCGGCAACATCTACCTGGTGTCGAAAAGGCTCAAGCTTGGGTCGACGCCCATAGCGGAAGTCGATTTTTTTGCGCCAACGCCGAAACCTCCTCCGATAGCGGCCCAACCCGGGGGTGGCGCGGGGGAACTTTCGTCGGATACTGTTGGTAGCTCTGCATGCAGCCAGGGCGACGTTACCCTTGTGTTCGGCAACGAAGTGGACGGTTTGTCGGGGCTGGAAGAAGGGGAAAGGGGCCGCGCCCTACCGGCCGTCTACTTGCCCATGCGTGACGACGTAATCCGATCGTACAACCTCTCCAACGCGGTAATTGTGTTTGCCGCGTGGCTCTACTGTAGTATGTGGTATTGTTGTTCCCTCTCGCGTGTTGTGCCAAACGAACCCAGCATGTTGCGAGGTCGCGCGTTGTCGTTTAGTGGTTGCAGCAAAGCTTCGAACCACTGACCATCCGTCGAAGTTGAAACGAAGAACAGTCGAGAGAGAAAGAAAAGGTGCCCGCAGTTTTCTGAATGGCCATTTTTTTTATGGAAGTTGCCTTTCAAGAAATCGGCCAATCAGAGAACTGCGGGCACCTTTACTTGCCCGTGTTTTGGTCCGCGCCATATGTCGTTCGTTCTTCTTGTTTGCCCCCGAAAACATCCTCGGAGGCAAAAATCCACACCTCGGCTCTCGAACGAGTGAGCAAATACTCTTTACTACATAGTCTACCCTCTCTTTGACGCGCCGCGTTTTCCTCCCTGTGTCTCCGTTTCAGTGTCGCTGTCTCTCCCCATCTGTCTCTGTGCCTTCGCATCTGTTCGTTTGCCTCTGTTTCTCTCTCTGGCTGTCTCCCACCCTCTCTGTCGTAGCCGAGTTCCCCTTCACCTTTCCCCTCGCGTTCCCTTTGCCGTTTGACCTACATTGCCCCTCTGTTCCAGCTGCTGCCCGCAGGTTCTCTCCCTCCAAGAGCACGAACGAAACCTTTCCCTAAACCTACCTATCCTCGTGCCCGCCCCCAGGTAGCGATGGCTGTTTACGAGGTAGACCGGCAGAGGAGAGAGGCCCCGCGAATACGAGACACGGGGAGGGGGGGAGAACAACGCGCGCCAACTTCGTCAACGATGTAATTACAGTGGATCCTAGGTGGATTGGCGGGAATTTCTGGAGAAGCGCCCATGTCGTGGCAAGACCACAGTCCGGTGTCGTCGATGACAGAGTAGTTGTTGCGACGCAAAGAGGGCTGCCAGTGGACGTAGGCACCGACAGCACCGGCAGGGCTCCAATAGATCACACCGGCGCAGGATAATAACAAAAGCACTGCCGGGATCGAGTAGCAGTCGCATGGCAAGCATTGATGGGTAGCTTGCCTTGGCTTGTCTTGCGGGCCTGAGAAAGGTTTCGTGCCATTGTTCCTTGCCACACGCCAACGATGACCGGCAGAGCGATGGGTGCGAGGCAGAAGCGAGTTTTTCTTCGGTCCTGTTGCCGTTTTCGTTGTTCGTCGCCGGTTTAGTCGATTTTTGGCATCACCAACTGCTGTCTTTATTTGCACGAAGTATTATGTTATAGTAGCGCGGCGACGACCCCTTTGATTGCGCGGCGGGCATGATTACGTCCTATCCTTCCCCCCCCTCGCTCTCTCTTTACAAAACGGTCGTGGCTCCGAATTATGAGGAGGGTACCGTATAAGAGGGGTTCCGATAGAAGGGTCGAAACCGGTTGCCACGGACCCGCTAAAGTAGTATTGGGCACCTTCTTCTTACGGTACAGGAGGGGGCTACGACAAGAGAGGATCGAGGGCCTCTGTCACACCACCCTCTTACACTGCTACGATGCATGTACTGGAGCCACGACTGCTGTATATGCACAGTGCCGGTCCTGTCGCAAGAATCCTTTGTGCAGCCTGCCGACTCCGAAGATACGCCGGGCGCCTTTATCATCCCGTTGAATTGAATAGCTTGCTGCACAAGGGCTGCCAATAAGCATTTGATGGACAGCGACAGACAAATGTTTTGGTCATGCCATGATAGTAGCGAGCATGGCACGCTACTGGTCGATTGCGGGGCGATGCCCGCATTGGAAAGAGCACCATTTTCTCAGGCCTAGCACTGGCGATTCCACATGCTGCTGAAGATATTCTTAGGCCCTGAATTGCCTCCAAACGTTGTCGGGAACTAGAATACGACGCAAGATAACAGGATGGTCGGTGATCGAACAACAGCCTGCAACACACTAAACGTCACCCGCGTTGGTATTCTACATACCATGCATTCACTTGCAGCTGCATGTTGTCGGGGTAAAGCAACCCCAAGCATGAATAGAGCAAAAGGTGCCCGCAGTTTCTGATAAATTTGTCTATTTGTTTAAATAAAGCAATTTTCCGTGTACGTCCGTAAAACAAGAGGAGTGACTTCGAGAGTCCGCCCCAACTCGGGCGTATGAGCCTCGTGCTCGATGATTCATCAAGACAACGACCACCCCCGAAAAATAATCAAGGAAGTGTGTTCGCCGAGATCGACAACACCTAAAGATGGTGTATACCGAGTGAGAGAAAAAAAATAAAAATAATACCGAGTCAGTCTCGGGAAGGGCCATTGAAAAACCCATCGGACGATTTGAACACACACCGCCGCTACAATGCCTCCAGGAGGGAAGAAAACAACGACAAAATTACGCGCCTCACCCTACGGGCACTAGGGTGACAACTATAAAATGAATAAATACGGATCATCGCTACCTGCATAGTTCCCAATATCCCCCCGCCATCTCGCGCCCCCCCACAAACACTCGAGGAAACACGAGGGAGGAAAAAAAATCGTGAGAAAAGAAACACACGCTCACGTCGCGACGACGCCACTATTTTGCATTGCCGAGCAAGAGAATCACCCCGCCTTGGGAGTGCAGGGGGTGAAGGAACCGAGGGAAAAAAGAGACAATTATACAGATCGTTTTCAAGGCGAGAAAGGGCCAAGTCAAAAAACCACACAGAAAACATACACCTTAAATTAGGCAGTATATCGCGTCCAAGAGTCAAATTCTTCCCCTTGACTCGGCCTGACGCCATTTTTGGGGGTGTACCGTAAGAACTGTAGTCAGTCAAACACTCAGTTTAATCCGCACCGCCTTCGAAGGAAAGGCGACGTCGGTGAAAGCGGCCCCTCACCCGTGAGGCGAAACGAAGCACTTAATAACTGGATCCACACGCAGCAAACGCGAACGGGTGTGCATAGCATGACGCCTACGAATGTGGGGGGAAGGGATCTGTGTCACAACATCGGAAGCCAAAAGGGTCGACACCGACGAGCAACCGCATGGGGTCAGGCAATCTTTTGCAGTGCAAAAGTGTCTCAAAAACACACAAACAATAAAAGCTATCCATACATGTGCGCACAGCACCCGTCGGAACTTCTGCCGGGGTTGGTTGCGGCCGTATTGGTGGAGGCATGTGGCTCTCGTCTTTTCCGTAGAAGAAGGTCCACCATAGTGGCACCACTAAAAGGTACCGTAAGAGTGTCAAACAACAACAATACAAAAGACCAAAAACGCCCCCCACCACCCAGGCGGGAGTCAGCCAAGCACGCTTGAGAAGCAGCGCATCACACAAACGAACACGGAAACATCGAAACTATTCCCCACCGTGCCGGCACCGCACCCCCAGCGCCATCCCTACAACCAACAAGTGCCTCCAACAGGCTGCAGCAGCTATGCCTGTTGCAGGTTCTACCTTTTATGCCCCTTGCGAGTTCTACCAGTGGCTGCAGCTACACCTCTTGCAAAGTCATGTAGCTGTAGCTAGAGTTACCTATTTATCCGCGGCATACGTCTTGCAAGGTCTGCCAATAGCTGCAGCAGCCCCCCCGCCCCCGCCCCCGACTTCCGTATCCTCCCGAAAAGCAGGCTCTTTCTTTCATCCTCTACCACAGGAAAGCGGCGGCCCCCGCGACGACCGCCAGGGCGAAGCCCGTCGGCAGGACCCTCGACCCCGGAGACTCAGCGTCCGCGGTGACGGACGTCCCACAGTCGCCGAAGTCGATCAGGAGCTCGCAGTCACCGCCCTGGAGCTCCAGGATGGCGTCCGGGTCGTCGCACGTGCCCACGTCCGAGTAGTAGGACCCCACGTCGTTCTGCTCGGTGAACACGTTCCGCAGCAACAGCCTGGTGTGTGACGGCGGGTGGGGGGCGCAATCGTGATGTCTTGCATGGCTTAGTTGTTGGAGACCATTGACCTCGCCATGCCGGGACTGATGTGCCGGGGAGTTCGCAGGCCCGAGCTGGGGGGGGGGG